ACGTGTCATCAAACGCACACTAAAAATGAGGGATTAAGAAGATAACTGCCACCGAACTAGACACCTGCCTTGGGGATGGAAATGCTTAAGATAACTTGTCACGAGAGCCCCCGGTTTGAGTATCGTAAAAGCGATGCATCAAAGCAATCATTGATTAACGGTATAGACGCATAGCTGATGTACAGGATTCTTCTTCCGGAAAGGCTTTCATTCGGATCTACAGCATATGGTGAAAGAAACTGATAGCAAGGAAGGAGGTAACGCTCGGATCATTTGAAGACACACCTTCCCAGCAATGGAAGCCGCCAAATTACCATTCGCCTGGAGGGCTGCCAAATATTCGTCGATTTACTTTTTACTCGTCGATCGGTCGCTGTGCTAAAGCGGCTTCACAAGTTATGACTGCAAGGGGGCGAGCATTCCCAACTTCCTTACGGCGGGCCGCAGAACTCAAGATTTGTTTGGTCAAGAATCCAGCGAGAGCTGAAGAATCTTCAATTCGGTGGCAATGGCTTGTCGGAAATACATGCACATTGCGGATCTTACATATTGACTTGGCAGCAAGGTTTTAATCACACCTACGGATCCTAAATTCTCTTTCTCATGGCGTAGTAAGACGACCGGGTCTCAGGGTTCAGTTGTCCCAGTCTTTATGAGCTAGCTGACGCTATTTGGAATGCTGTACTTGGTGGGCCTTTGACGCTGATCAGAGATTATAGCATTGAAACACGCCCAAGGACGGGGTATGTACACTGGGGTCTCTACTGTTCGATCATCGACTTGGAATTTGAGAGCCACAACCGTGGCCCATGAAGATAAGCTTAGTGGCTATTCTACGGCGAATTTCATGCAGTTGACGATCTGTCAATGGGTGCGACCGCTCCAGCGCAGCCCGGCTCAATTACCCCCTCACATATTCTGTTGTGCCATCAGCTCATGGTAGGACAATACAACTACCCAAGCAAGGGTGCTTTGCTACGATCGTGGAAGATGGTCAGCCTGAGCCAGGACTAATCAGGCTCATATTGCAGCAAGCCGGATACGTAGTACTATGTTGATGCACCAGGAGTTTGTTGGCCGTGGGTCTGCGAGGTTTATCGGATAACAACTTATTGCTTCTGCGCGATACATGGAACATATCCATTATTGGGCTCATGGTTGTACCGCAGACCGCTTGGAGCCTTGATATGACTAGATTGTACGTTGCACAACGAGTTCCCTCCTTGCAAATGTTTCAGATGCTCTACACTGGACAGATACCGGTATCTAATATGGGCTAGCGATACCTTCCGCAGTTGCAGAGCATGCCTGTTCGTTTATAGTTTCGGTATCATTAGCTTCGCTCCTGGCAGGAAGTAACGATGACTAGGACACGTCTTGCATCATGTTAATCTGTACCTTGAGTAAAGGCAGATACTTACATGGTTAAGGAATCAGCCTATGTTCACGATTGCTGCCCCATAAGACAATCAGCTCCGAAAATCCGAGATCAGCCTCTTTCTAGACTGATAATTACGTCTGATAGCCAGTAATAGTTCGTCTATGAGCAAATATGCCGCAACCTAAACAGTCTGATGCAATAGTCATCACTCTGTCACACAATCCTACGCAAGATGCAATATGCCCGTGGCATTCTTATCAAGTAATCGTTCAATTTCAACCACGAGCTGATGAAGCAACAGGATTGACAAACATATTAACATTCTAGTTGGTTCCCTATGTGCTTACCTTAGAAATGGATGCTAAGCAACGACACTGGACATCTAACTGTCGTCATTGTGCGCTTATAGAACTGCTCATATAGGTTTCGCCTCACCGTGAAAGGGCCATGGCCGACGCCTCATACGTCAACTCTGGCCCCATGGTGTCCCAAGATACTCTACAGAGACATGAGAACAACGGGAATGAACTCTTCTAGCAGCTCAGCTATACTGGAATCGTTCTCAAAGACAGCAATTCCTGGTTATGGGAAAGGAGAAAGACTACCGACGAATGAAGTTGACTTGATGTGAGCAAGAGCTGCAAGGGTACTTATCTACGCCAATGTAGGTAGCTAAAAGGAGTAGTGTCTAACTGTAAGCTATCCATAGCAGGCTAAGTTGCTAACGAGGCTCCCATATAGTGAGGTATCTTATAACTCAAAGCAGATTCGTCTCCCTCCAACTTTGACTAATGGCAGACACTACATACAACGAAATTTCTACCTAGAACCATCTCAAGTCACTCAACGCTCCATCGCAACATGTCTCTCTGGACAAACTACCAATCACTTCCCACCACGCAGTGGGCCCATGTATTCAGAACCCGGGGTGACAGTATGAACATCAACATTTGCTGGCAGAGACACGCTAAGAAGTACAGCTATCGAACTCAAAGAGATCCCCGTTGGGAACCCAGGCCCCGATGAAGTGCTGGTCCAAATGGAATACTCAGGAGTCTGCCACACAGACCTCCATGCATGGAAAGGTTTGATTGCCTTGAGTTCGGCTCTAGATACTGTTGTTCATCAGCTTAGGGGATTTTCCGGCTACCCCGAAAAGCAATCTCGTCGGTATGTCACACCTTGCCCAATGTATCGAGCTGGTTCCAACCATGACTAGGCGGGCACGAGGGTGTGGGATTGGTTGCTGCCGTCGGCTCGCAGGTAAACGGCCTTCGCATTGGAGACACCGTCGGAATACAGGTATTTTCTCTTCGCATGGCTTAACCAAGAACAGAGAGTAATGGGATGCTAGTGGATTAACAGAACTTGCGGCGTGTGCGAGTTCTGCACTACCGGGAGACAGCCACTCTGTCCTAAGCTTCAGTTATCGGGGTATATGGTCGATGGGACCTTCCAACAGTATTGTATTTGCAAGGCTGACAATGCAGTGCGCATTCCGTCCGGCATTTCGCTAGAGGCTGCTGCTCCGGTATGTTTGCGACTGTCCACTTCGAAATGGCGGTCTAACTCGGTGCACCGTCTAGGTTCTTTGTGCCGGGATTACTGTATACAAGGCTCTCAAGGAAAGTGAAGTCCGACCAGGAGAGATAATCGGTAAGTAAGATTCTGGCTTTACCGACTGATTCATCACCGTTAATTCATGCGACTAGCCATTGTTGGCGCTGGCGGAGGATTGGGATCCTTGGCTTGTCAATATGCCAAAGCATGCGGACACAAGGTCCTCGCCTTATCTTCCGGGGCCGCCAAGAGGAAAATGTGTTTATATGACCTTGGAGCGGATTACTTCGTCGATTACAAGTCGCCGGACGTTGCAGAGGAGGTGAAGCGCGTCACCGGGGGCGGACCGCATGCTGCGATGATAGTCTCATCTGTAGAAGAGCCGTTCCACCAGGCTACACAGGTGATTTGAACGTCTCTTTAATACCGTGAAGAAAAGCTGATATATCCTCCAGTACATTCGCCCTGGCGGAACAATCGTCGCTGTTGGTCTCCCACCTGGAAAGATCTGCACCGACCTTTTCCATATGATTACCCAGAGAATCAACATCAAAGGTTCCTATGTGGGGAACAGAGATGAAACGGAGGAAGCACTTGCTATCATCATCAAGGCCGGAATTAGCGTTCAATACGAGGTGGTGGATTTCTCCGAACTTCCAAATATCTACGATCAGATGGAAAAGGGTATGTTCAACTGTGATCATACTACGTCTTGTGTTGACGTCTTCCAGGAACGATGAAAGGACGAGCCGTGCTGAAGATCGGAAAGACGCTTACAAGAGGCCCTGAGCGGCAGTCGAGTCTCTGCAGAGACCTGCATTTCTCGCCAAAGCAGACAAATGGCATAAATGGCTTTACAGCGAAGAGTACCATATCAGGGGCCCTAGAACGAGCCATTGAGCGGGCCGGAAGAGATTTCCGGTCTGATACTGTGACTGTTCCTACTGAGGCCGTGATGGAGGTGTGTCTCACACGTGCGGCTCCAGACAACGGCTGACTAAAAATTTTCAGGCGATTGTAAATGCCTCAACTTTCGGGGATGACATCTACGATGAGGAAGGAGACGCAACAGTGAATGATTTCCAGGACAAGATCAAAGCACTGACAGGCAAGGAGGCAGCGCTCTTTGTCGTATCCGGAACCCAAGGCAACCAGATCTGTCTGCGCACTCATTTGCACCAGCCGCCTCATACGATTCTTCTTGACTACCGTGCGCACGTCCAAACATGGGAGACTGGTGCAATTCCTGTCTTGTCCCAGGCCACAGTGACGAGCGTTGAGCCGAAGAACGGTGTTCATTTGACCCTGGATGATGTGAAGGATCGGATTATCGAAGAAGGAAATTGTAAGGAAACTTTCCTCAGAAAAGATCTCCAACCTTGCTGATACTGTCGCAGTCCACTTCCCCCCTACCAGAGTTGTCTCCCTCGAAAATACACTGAGTGGCTCGATTCTCCCATTGAAACATGCCAGAGAAATATCGAACTACGTCCGCAGGGTTCGTGTGCCTCCAGGCCGGACCCCCATCGCCATGCATCTTGATGGAGCCCGGTTGCTGGAAGGTATAACTGCAGAGGGAGTCTCGGCCCGCGAATACCTTGACTGCTTTGACAGTGCCAGCATCTGCATTTCCAAGGGTTGTGGTGCTCCAATGGGCAGTGTTATCGTTGGTACTCGAGAGTTCATTGACCGCGCGAAGTGGTTCCGGAAGATGTTTGGTGGCGCAACTCGACAGGTAATTCCAGCGCAGTCCAGAAGAATCCAAAAATATAGGTACTAATGAGTTAGACTGGAATGATGGCCGCTGCTGCTACCGCTGCAATGGAGCACACTTTGCCTCTACTCCCGAAAGTGCATGCGCTTACACGGCGCGTGGCCGACTATCTCCATCGGATCGGGTACGAGTTCCTCATGCCAGTGGACACTAACATGATAGTTCTCGATCTGAAGAAAACTGGCATTACTGGAGATGATATTGTGTTCTACTGCAAGCAGCAGGGGTTGTTGGTATTCCCCAACGGGCGACTGGCCTTCCACCACCAGATATCGGAGGATGGGGTTGCTCGGCTTCAAAGGGCTTTGTTGGAATTGATTACAGATAAGAAGAGATTCTAAACTGGACGAGAGTATGAAGGAGAGCAGTAGATACTTGACATGGCAACTTCTGGAACTTACTGTTGTGTTGTTAGATTTCCTATAGACAGACTGCAAGGCCGTCTCACAGACAATCTGAATGTTGATTTCCTATTCCAAACCCACCGTCCACCATACTGACACATCTGAATACCACTGATCCAGACCAATTACTCCCCAATATTCATCTCCTCAATCCCCTTAGCCGCCCGCTCCTTCCAATCCGCCCTCCACCTCGTCAACGCGGGCCTCCCATGAACCACATCCCCACACGACCACAACATCCTCCTCTTATCCAACTCCTCAGAGACCTCACCATCGGGACAAACGATATAAAACCTCCCTTCGGCCATGCCCCGACTCAAAAAATCCACCACCTGCTCAGGAAACCACGCCCCATCCGGCTTCTCCGTAAAATGCCTCCTCACCATTCCGGTATATGTAAACCCCGGAACCAGCAAATGCACAGCCACATTGGGATGTTTCTCATACAGACTATAACTCAACTGCTCGGCAATACTCTTTACCGCGGCCTTGGAGGCATTATACGCCGGGTTGCCGGGCGGGTTGGTAATACCCTGTTTGGATCCCGTCAGGATAATCGCTCGCGGGGATGTAGTGTCACGAGTCATGTCGTCGAGGAATGTCGCTATGCCGTTCGTGTACCCTAGTGTGTTTACTGCGAGCGTTCGTTGGAAGTAGGATGGGTCTGTCCAGGCGGTTTTGCCGTCTGTGGGTTGGACCATGGTGCCGGCGTTGAGGAAGAGGAGGTCGATTCCATTAGGGTGGGCGGAGGTGACGGAGGCGTGGACGGATTGCCAGTCGGAAGGGTTGGAGACGTCAATGTGGTGGGCGGATGTTTTGGTCTCGAAGGGGACGATGGTGGAGGGCAGAGTTAATGCTACAAAGTTGAGGGCTTCTTGGTCGTTGTCAATGAGGATGAGGTTCATGCCGTGTATGCGGCAGAACCGGGCTGTGGCTTGCCCGATGCCTGAGGCGGCGCCGGTGATGAGGGCTGTTGCGCCGGGGCGGAAGACGGGGTGGAGGGTTGAGGACATGGTTTCTGGCAGTGGGACTGTTCTTTTTCTTGTTTTGTTTAGGTGATGGTGGGTTTGGGTGTTGTTGGTGTGAAGTTGGAGGGAGGGAGAGGATGAGGGGGTGAAAGTGAGGGGTTGATGTTGATGATAGATGGCGGAAACGGCGACTCGGGCTTCCGAGGGGGTTGCCGATGCCGATGGATGGAGGCCTAGATTATGAAGTACTCACTGTGCAGACGTGAACTACATAGTATGCAGAGGCATAACGGTGGTGTGGGGACTGGGGAGAGGGGTTACCCGAGTATTTTGTACTGGTTAGCTTTATCATCGGATGACAGTTATCAGTATCAGTAGCGGCCAGTATGAAGCCAGAAAAAGATGCTCTAAATGAAGATCCCTGAGAAGTTGCAAGTTGCATGTTATAGTTGGGACTGAAAGAGTACAGAAAAACAGCTAGCATGTGACTATAACTTCAACTTCCGTTGATGGGGCAATTCCATTGGAGAATTGTGAGTAGCTAGTCAACATGGTGCTTTCTGGACGAAATGTGGCAGCCATGAGAGAGAACATCGAACTGAGGAATGGCATTAACGGGTATGGTTCTATCACATATGGTAGATACCCATCTTACTATAATCCCCAGTTTGCTCATTAAGTGGCTCATGCGTCTGCACCAGGAAGAATGTCTTGAAATAAGGGCTCGGCTGCTCATTATCCACGGGCGCGTATCCGCGGACCTTCCGCTCCTCGCCCGGAGTTAAAAACCAATGCCGACCGGACATAACGCCTGTGTCAAAAAGCCACATCATACTTATATACCCTGGCAATAGCAGGTCGAAGAAAAGTTCAGATGTTAATTGACGCAGTAGCTGATTAGAAAATAACACGCTAGAAGAATGGTCAGCACCACCCGCGGACGGGGTGTGAACATGCCGAAGCCATCAACATCTCCGCATTCGGACAGCCGGCTGTGCTGCTTGTGATACATCAAGAGACGGGACATTTGTCTGACACAACAAGAGATAGTAGCTGCTTTGTACAGATTAGGTTGGCCAGCAAAATGGCATGGTCATCAGACACAGTATGATTCATAACATCTCACTCGGACGCCTGCATGAGTCGACCCACGTCAAACCAGCCAACTACCCCGTCTCACCCTTCACCACCGGCCCTCCAGAGCCCTGTCATATGCGGGGCTTCCAAAATGTAGCACTCACGATCCACCCCAAATCCGGACCGGAATCAAGTCTCCAGTAACAGCGGCAGCAAGCCGTGCCGTCATGTTCTCGCGCCCCGAATTTCCGTTGACGGGGGTCCGGGCCCTCCAACCAAGACAACTTATTTAACCCACAACATGCAGCCCATGACATGACGTTCACACATCCCAGAAAGAACAACTACCTAGCTCATCCTCATCCAAAAACAAAATGAAAATCCTCATCTGCGGCGGCGGCTGCGCCGGCCCCGCCCTCGCCTTCTGGCTCGCCCAAACCAACCACCAAGTCGTGGTAGTAGAACGCTTCCCCCAGCTACGTGACAAAGGAGCGCAGATCGATCTCCGTGAGCAAGGCATTGAAGTAGTCCGACGAATGGGTCTGCTCGACACCATCCGCCAGCACTGCGTCCACGAAGACGGCTTCACGCTCGTTGACGGCAACGACCACGTCACAGCACTGATTCGACCAAACACATCTGGACATGGATCGCAATCTTTATCATCCGAATTTGAGATCATACGGGGCGATCTAGTCCGGATATTATACGACGCTACCAAGAATAACGTGGAGTATCGGTTCAACACGACCGTGGAGCGCTTCGAGCAAGATGATGAGAAAGTAACGGCGCACTTCTCGGACGGGACGTCCGAGATGTTCGATCTGCTGGTCGGTGCAGACGGGCAGGGCTCGCGAATCAGACGGGGGATCCTGCCACCAAATGCAGCTGATCCGTATCTCCATCTCGGGATCCACGCAGCATACTGGTTCGTTCCGCGAGAGAAAGGCGATACCAATACCTTCACGACGTATGTGTCTCCCGGTGGACGAGCGGTATTCCGCCGGAGTCACAGTCCCACAACATCGCAGGTATATTTCATGTTGAAAGATGACGATCCATCGCTTGCGTCTATTCACCGCGCATCAGTGGACGCGCAGAAGGAGTTCTGGATGCGGCGGTACCGCGGGGCGGGGTGGCAGACGGAGCGGTTTATTGAGGGGATGAAGACAACGGATAATTTCTACTCACAGGAGATAGTGCAAGTGAAGACAGACATGTGGTATAAGGGACGGGTGGTGTTGTTGGGGGATGCGGCTGCGTGTCCGGCTGTGGTGACGGGGATGGGGACGACGGGATGTCTTGTTGGGGCGTATGTGTTGGCTGGGGAGATTAACAGACATGCGGGGGATGTGGGAGCGGCATTGAGGAGTTATGATATTACGTTGAGGCCGTTTGTGAAGGAGATTCAGAAGCTGAATACGTCGATGGTGAGGTTGTTCTTCCCAACTTCGTGGTGGGGGATCTGGTTGCTGCATTGGTTTGCGGCTGTGATGTGTTTCTTGAGAATTCCGGAGTTGTTGGATAGGATGGGGAGTGAGGAGGTGGGTGGGTGGAAGCTGCCTGAGTATGAGGAGTTGAGTGCCGGAAGATGATCTATTTATCAAGAAAGTAGAGCTGTAGTAATATCTCCTCTTTTCATATGAGATTATAAAGAGCCTAGAGCTGAAATAAAAATTTGTAGGAGATCGTCGCAGTAGACCCACCACAGGACATTCGATAGCATCATTACTAGAATTTTCAAAAGGAGACCATACAATACTACTTAAGTTTGTATAACAATTTCATAAGCATCGACATCTCTTTCGATTATTAGGGATTCGGTGAGTGGCGCAGGTGACAAAGGATAACATCACGGGAAAAGATGACTCTTTACCCCTTAAGTGTATTGGGGTAAAATATGAGTGACTACAAATTGAAGAGAGCATCCTTCACATTCAGTCTACCAAGACCAAATAGAACGGGAAGATTCTGAACCAGTCCTATTTTCAGGTAATATCTCTCTATCAGCTTGAACTGAGAGTCTCAATATTGTTCAGAAAATTTAGTCTCTCTTCAATACTTTATCTACACACACCCTGATGAGTGATAATAGTATGGTGATAGTTGAAGTCCTGTATAATATTCCTTGTCATACTATCATTGAGTGATTAAGTGTATGTATGTAAATCTATATCCATAGCCCATCCCCAACTCCGCCCATCATTAATCCCATATCCATACTCCATCATAAATTATAATCCATTACTCTCTCCTCCCCCAATCAAACCTCCCCGTCCCCTCCGGCTCCTTCCCTGCCGGCTCCGTCTCAATCACCGTCTCCTGAGTCACCGTAATATCACGCATCTTGCCCTTCTTGCCCGTACCCACCAAGCCCTCCTCATCACTTCCATAACCGGCAGTAATGGTCCCTTCATGCACCGACAATCTTGTGCGAGACTTCTTCGTAGCCGTTTGTGTATTCCCTTCCCGACTGGCCAGCGGATACGACTCGCCCCGTCTCCGACCATAACTGCCCGTTCCCCCACGGGCTGAGCTGAACAGCACGCTCAGTCCGATCTTGCTTGCTCCCTTGCGAAGCAGAGGTTGTATAATAGGTAGGTTGGCTACAACGATGGAGACGAAAGTCTCGCGACATGCCCATTGACTTCCTGCGACGGCGCCGTCGGGACCGGCCTGCGGTCGTTAGTGATTTGTTCGATGGGTAATGGGGACACCAGTGGTCGATGGAGATCGTACCGTAAGAATAGTCACGGCGCGGATAATGCCTGCCATAATGATAAAGGCTGCGCTGCTGAAAAGAGCCATAAGTGTGAGCTTCTGGCGGATGCTAATTTTCACGGCCCAGAGAAGCGGAAGTGGGATGGACATGAGGTAGAGATCAGTTATGACGTTCGGAATGACGACGATGAGGACGCTTAGGGTCGATTTGGTCGGTTGGCAGATGTCTAAGGTGAGACGCCAGTTAATTGATGATCTCAACGGGTATAGCTGCGGCAGAAAGAGGGTAAGAAACATACTGCCCGGGTTCGGGTTGATTTGCCAGTTTTTGTGCATGGGCTGACATCCCAGCACAATGGTCAGGCCCACGACGAGATAGGTCACGCCGAGAAGAATGTATGCGAAGCGGACACGTGCGGGGAGATGGTTTAATCCAGATCTAGACAGTCAGTTAGCTTCGTCGACATGAAATCAGAGCCGATGCCATACGTGAGGCGCGAGTAGTAAATGGCGACGCAGAACTTGATCAACCACAGAATCATGGCGTACAAGGACCATCCGATGACCTGAATCTTAGATCCCCATTGCCGATCGTAGTACTCTTTCGAGGACGGGTCCACGGCCGCTCGTTGCTCGTCGGCCATGTAGCTGTTCGTAAGGCCGTTGAATTTGCTGCGGACAAGATGCGCTGCGACAGTTTCGCCGATAAAGACGGCCTGCGTCGGTTAGAAGACAACGGTCGGAATGTCGGTGTAGGAAGACATACACCTGCCAATGGCATCAAATAGTCATCGACAGCAAAGTTCAGGGGTCCGCCGACTTGCGACCAGCGGACATAGATTCGTACGATGATGAAGAACAGCCCCAACGACAGGAGGGTGAACGCCTCCGTGTCCCCGTTAGCCATGGTGAACTGCCAGACTGGATGTACTCAGACTGAGTACCGAGGAGGTGACGCCAGTGCGAGAATTGTGCGCATATTGTCTTTATAACCCATTTCGGGGTCTGTTCTTCTGCAGAACAGAAAGGGGCACACGAGGATGCAAATCATTCATATTCTGGAATGCCAAGGGCATCCATCTAAAAGAGATTTCCTGACCGACACCCAAGGCAATTTTAGAGCGAAATACTAACTTTAAGTGACAGGCTTTTATTGGCCGTGTGTTGGACATAGGGGTGAAGGTTAGTTCTACCGCGTGCGCTAGAGCCACGATCCGGGGAACGAGACAGCGGCAGCGCCCAAGGCGAAGCGGAAGTCAGTCCGGTGAACTCTATCAGTGCCAACGGCATGCTGCTATGAGCACCAGAGTGGATTCTATTTCGTATCTCGGCATCGGGGCAGGCGTTCCAGACACGCTGATCGCGACCCACGCGGCACCGGATTGACGTTTTTATGCCGAAAGAGGTAGCGAGGAGCGACGCACCAAGCCATTGTGGACGATGGTGTTGACGTTGACGTACGAGTTCTCCTGCGATGAAAATCCTCTACGAGGTGAGGAAGCTTATCTTGTCGTCTGGTGTCGACGCTGCGTGCGTGTGCTCTTTTCGGAAAATGCTGGATACTCCAGATTCACGCTTCAAAGAACTCGAACCCTAAATGTCAATAGCTCGGGATGAGACCGAGACAGCCGCCATGGTAAAAACAGAAGCCATCCCGCCCTCAAGTTTGGGTCGGTCGGGAGGCGCCCCTGATCCATCAATGGTCAGAGCTCATAAACAAGCGGATATCAGTGGGTCTGAAGCTGCTGAATCTGAGGCAGATGATTTTCGTGAGTGGGATCACGACAGGATGCTGGCAGCAGAGATGGTGGCTGTTGGGTAATCTGCAGCTCAAATTAGTTAATCGCTATCGGACATTGAGCGTCGACTTCATTATGCAGCTGCAAAGCACGGAGTATGTTCCTCAAGATAGTGAGGCGAAGGTTACCAGTGACGATCTTAGGTCTTTTCGGTTCCTCCGCGATCTTTTCGTTCGATAAGGGTGCCACAATATCACCCGCACGATCGAATTTTCAACCATGGTTAAAAACTTGGCGGTACCGTAGGTGTGGATGACCACTGTGCTCCGTACACCATAGCGATCCTTTCCAAAGGCGGAGGAGCTTGAAAGGGCAAATTAAGCGTAGCAGCACACAAGAACGCATGGTCAGTGGATTGCATTTGAAACTAATGAGTACGGACAAAGAAGATAGAGGTGTTACCGTCCAGTTGAGCGCTATTTGGCAGAGAGTTTGAGGGAACAAAGAAGACGGAAACGAACGGAGATCGCTGTACACTTTGAACGACGGTGAATAAAAATATGATCTACACCTGCAAGGATTTAGCGAACCAACAGGTCGGGACTGATGATGCTAGGAATAAAGAAAAGTAGAGGGGAAGACGGACAGCTGCATTGATCGATGTAGAGGGGCAGGGGTCTCTTCATCTAGGCGAAGTGGATACCTTGGCAGAGGACCACAGTATGGCTTGAAAACCAGACATTTACTGCCGATGCATAATAAACTGACTCGGTACTAATGGCAAACTAATCCGTACAAAGGCAAAGCAACCCAGAGACCCGGTACATAATGAATCTGGCCAAGACACACCCAATTTCCGATACCACAGTCTACCCACTTCCAAGCGTGCACAATGACCAATCCCATACATCTAGATAGCCGCATGCCCATGCGTCTCAAATGGTAGCCCAAAGCAGACAAACCCAACAGCAACCCATAATGCAGCACTTGCATATATGGGCGCCGGCGTGAACCCTGTCTGCGAAGCAATCAAACTAGCACAGAGCCCACCAAACCTTAATAATGAAGCAGCAGTTCCAGTACCTGTTCCTCGATGTGGAGCGGGAAAGGATTCCGGCGTGAAGGCGTACATGATTGCGTATTCTGTAACATTATCAGTAAGTGAAAACTTGTAGAGATGAGGGACTGGGGTACACGTACCGAAATTTCCCAACATGCCTGTTATACAAGCAAACGCTAGACTCGACGTTGGATTGCTGACGCCCACATATGCGAAGAGAAAGACGCCCGTGATGATGGACGAAATACCCATCATCCAACGCCGGCCGAAGAAGGTGGTTACGAAATAAGCTGCAGAGAGCGGCCCAACTATGCCGACCGCAGACTCGATGCAGTAGTTTCTGTAAGTAGTGTAAAGGGAGTCGTCCGATGAGAATTTTGTGGCCAGGTAGGATGGCAGAAAGTTGAAGTAGAGGGGATAGGCGATGCCTTCATGCATAGTTAGTTTACATTTTCCGGTGAGGATATAGGGAGATGCAGTATTTACCAATTGTCAGCCAAATAAGCCAGATGATACCAGTATGGATACCAAGTTTTCTTGTGGCAAAGAGGGCCTGGTAGTGTGTGGATCGAAAGTCTTTCATGTTCTCCTTGATGATTTCCTTAGTCCTCAGACCCGGGCCCTGTGCAGACATGTTAGATTCATTGGTGATCCCTAGTCGGACGTCGATCTCCTGAAACATGCCGATGGTCAGAGGCTCGGGCTTTCCATTTTGGCGCGCGACGTAGTTAACGGAGTCGACGGCGGCTTGGTCCTTGCCTTTGGAGAGGAGGTAGCGGGGGGTTTCGGGAAGCTTAAAGATGAAGATGCGTATGACTGTAAAGGCGAGGGATAGAGCACCTAGGGAAATTAGGGTGTATCTCCTGTATCTGTTAGATGCTGAGTAGTAGCAGATAGAATTATGAAGACATACCATCCCATATTCTCACTTTGATGACATGTTGCTGGTGTAGAATCGGTTGGACAGCTGTAATTAGCGAGAAAGACCCAGGCCAGAAGCGACACGATTAGTTGGCCCAAGTTCCACCAGGCCGATAGGGCTGTCAGGAGGTATTGGTGGCTAGTCACCATGATTAGTCTCATTAACACCAACAGACTGAAGGAGCACCTACCTCCCAGGAACAAACTCAAGAAAGATCATCGAATCTACGGGGACATTTCCTCCCGCTGCGGTGCCGATGACAGCCCACATGGCGCTAAAGGCCAAAAAGCTTTTAGTGCCAGCTGCACCACACAGAAAGATACCTGCAATCAGGAGGGTTGAGTTGAACGCGGGCTTCCGGCCGATCAAGTCGCTGGAGATACCCCAGAACGAAGCACCAAGAATCAAGCCTGTATAGTAGGCCACCGAACTATAGCTGACCTGGACGATACCAGGAAATTCGAGTTTAATAGGCGGTTGGACGCTGCTGATGCCTTGTGATGCAAACTATATTTCTCTTGTAAGTGAAGCAATCCTTGATAGTTGAATAGCGCCACGAACGTTATCCACGATCCATCCAAACCCCGTTACGACGAAGAGCTTCCATTGGAATCTGCACTCATCAGTATTCAATCCCTTCCTGACGGCAAGGACGAAGAGAAGAACGCACCTTCCCATCCCAATCTCCTCCATACACTTTCCCACCAACTCCGACTTCAGCCGATATGCTTCTGTGGTCGACGAGCCATAGAACTGCTGCACATCCGGGTCATCCAGTATGACTCCCTTCTCCTCTCCCACAATACTGTTGGCATATTGCTGAGTCGGGTCAGGCTTCTTCTCCTGCTGTATACTGTCCATGTTGATGAATTGGTGTGCATTGTCGTGAATGTGATGGCATAAGACTGGCGATCAAATAAGATTCAACATAGGTAGGATTAGGGTTGCTGTACGGGTGCCTGGACCAGTTCCGGCTTGCTGACGCAGCTGATTACGGCTAGTTACACGACATCAATAGTATCTTATCGATTGTCAAGGGTGGGGGATCGCTATCTGTGCCAGCTCGTGTGGCTGCCGTTTAGACCTCCACCTCCACTTCTGAGTCTTGGTATGACCACTGGTTATCGAGGATTGGTAATCAATTGAGAAATTTAACAGATGACTTTGACGAAAGGTTGAATTTATTGTCTGTGTGGATTTGTGATACTACCAGGCATGATGTTATGAGTATAGATGGTGGTGGGGTTGAGAAGGTATCATAATTCATTGGCATAGAAGCAAGAGAGCTATGGACAAATATACAACAGCCACTACATGGATTTCAGGCACCCACCGCCGCTGTAGCCGGCGTCGTCTCCATCTTCAGCTTCGCCTTCTCCTCCATCTCCTTTTTATACTGCTCCGCCCGTCCGTAGCTCTCCTTATACGAAGCCGTCACCATGTCCTCAACGGTGATAGGTGGATACTTCGGTGCCTCTCCCTCCGCGCGACAGTTGGGCAGACACTCGCACAGGTAATCAGGGTTTCCACTGAAGAAGAACGGGATTGAGTACCGCTCGCGGCCGGACTTGTTAATGACGCGGTGAATGTTGGATTTGTACCGGTCGTTGGCCATGCGCATGAACAGGTTGCCGAGATTGACAACGTAGGCACCAGGAACTGGTTGAACCTGCATCGTAGATCTGTTAGATGACGCCCATTTGACAATGAAACAGGGAAGTGGCACTCACATCAAGCCACTGGCCAGTAGGTGCATCCAAAACCTGCAATCCATCCACCTCATCCTGCAGAAGCAGTGTAATGCATCCGAAATCAGTATGTGCACCAATACCTCGGTTTAGCTTTTCGTCTGCATCCTTAGGCTGCGCAGGATAATGCAACATGCGCATAGTTGCGACCGCTCCGTCGGTGAGTGGGTCGAAGTAATCCTCATTTACATCCAGAGTCAAAGCCAAAAGAGACAGGACGTCCTTTGCCAAGTCAAATACCGCATTGTAGTATTCCATCGATGTGCGTTGAAAATCTTCCTTATCGGGCACGGTCAGTGGCCACTGGTTTGGACCGCTGTTGAGCTTCTTCTGAATGTAGTAGGGATGGTCTTCGGGGATTTCCTGGCCGATGTACAAGCCCTCTTTGAGTTCGGGGCCGGTGCCTACTTCGAGCATCTGCGAGCGGAGGAGTTCGTAGCCGCGGTTGAAACTGTTGTTGTCTGAATTTCCAAATCTTGGTTAGTGGCGAAAAGGATGGAGTATAAATTGAGGTGATTACTCTTATCGATCTTGAGCTTCTCTTCTAGCGGGAGGTCGAAGAATCGCTCGGCGCAGCGCATAACGCGACGCTGTAGGTCGAGTGGCACGCGATGACCGGTGATCTGGAAGAAGCCATTGTAGAGGCAGCAGTTGCGGACGGCCTCAACCAGCTGGGTCTTGGCCTCGCTGTCGCCTCCGTAGAAGGGGGAGAAATCAAGAATTGGGGGAGCGCTGGGAGCCATTGTGTCGTTGCCTACTGTTGTTGCTTGTTGCTGATGCTATTCAGGTATCTCAGGTGAATATATCCAGCATCAGTGGGCTGTAATGATCCATAATCTGTGCGCAATGTCGGACAGAAGGCCGAGGGGCTTGCTCATTCCCTCCATTTTCGGGTCTAGTATAGACAAGAGTGGGGGTAGGATGGGGCGACGATAAAGCTTGCAAAGGTCGGGTGATAAGAATGCGGAGAAGCTGAGAGATGGCGTAGATGGCCACTTCTTGCCACTTATCTCTCGGGGTCTTGAAGCTGCAGCTGGATAACCCCAGATCAGCACGGGTAGCCTAATCGGGCAATGCCTGTGCCTCCTTGCAGGTTACACAGGACAATGCCATTGGCATATAGAATGCAGCCAGCTGGCAGCTGATCAGATTTGAGGTGAGGGCTGTTCGCATTTCATTCTCGTAATGGCTTTCACCGATACTGTCGAGAAGGAGGCCATTTCGGCCGAGCCTGCGATGAAGTCTGAGGAGAGTAGTATCTACATCGACCGTGATGCGGAACGGTCGTATGGTGAGTGAGAAGAATTACTTCTGGCTGCGGTTACTAATAGTTGCAGTGCGAAAGGTGGACTTTTTCGTCCTGCCACTCCTCTGTTTGGTGAGCATGGTGTCCGAGTCGGCGACCAGCTACTGACTGTGTAGATGTACTTTTTTGACTGCATGGACCGCGTAGGTAGTATCTTCGTGTAGTTATCTGGTCGCTGCTAATAGAATCAGAGTAACCTGGCAAACGCTAAAACTGATGGTCTAGACGAGGATATTCACCTGGTCGGGAATGACTACTCGTTGATGGTGCTGTTATTCTACATCCCCTTCGGGTTGTGTGACTTGCCATGGAATCTGCTGCTGAAGCGGTACTCCGGACGCTATGTGCTGTCTTTCAGTAGGTTGCACGATTGTATCATCTGAACCTGGCTAACTTGTCAGTGACCGTGGTCTGGGGAATCCTGGCTCTCTGCCAATGTGCTGTGAAAGACTTCGGTGGTATGATTGCTGTTCGCATGATCCTAGGGTAAGTCCCGCACCCATCAACGAGAGCCAGATCTAACATCGGCAGAGTGTTTGAGGCAGGTTTCTTTGCGGGGGCGACATTTTATATGACACTGTTTTACACGCGAGGCGAGATGGGCTTCCGGCTGGCCATCATGCAGTCCTTTGCGGTGCTCGCATCCGCCTTCAGCGGACTCATCTCCTTCGGCGTATTTCAGATCCACGATCCAGCTGTCAAAGGCTGGCAATGGCTGTTCATCATTGAAGGTGCAATGACCTTCCTCATGGGAATCCTGTCGTTCTTCTGGTTGCCCGGCAATCCACGTACTGCATGGTTTCTCAACGAGCGTGAACGGGCTGCGGCAACGGCACGGTTACTGCGCGACACCTCGGCCGAGGTGGATACCAAACTGGATCTGAAGGTTGCATTTGAGACATGGAAGGACTGGAAGTTCCCTATCTGGTGCATTATCACGTTCACTTATCCGGTGGCATATGCGACCGCGATGAATTTCTTCCCGTTGGTAGGACATGACCTCGCCGACTGGCAGAGAAGAAGCTAACAGAATAGATTGTCGAACGACTGGGATTTTCCACTGTCAAAACAAACCTCTGGACGGTCGCCCCAAACCTGGTAGGCGCGGTAGTGCTTCTCTGTGTGGCCAAGTCGTCGGATCACTTCCGCGAGCGAACATTCCACATAGTGTTCTCGCTGGTGATATCCCTTGTCGGGATGGTCATCCTGGCGACAATCGATGTCCTGAGTCACAAGGGAGTCGCATATTTCGCCTGTTTCCTGATGGCAGCGGGGTCGTATATCCCATCGTGTCTGGTGCATGCGTGGCATAACAACAACAATATGCACGAGAACTCGCGTGCAGCCAACACGGGTTTCTTCGTAGGGTTGGGCAATTTGGCGGGAATCTTGAGCGCGGCGACGTTTCGCACGCAATATGCTCCGAAGTAAGTAACCTGACTACCTGGACCGTAGAGACGACTAACGGTGTAGGTATATTCCCACCTTGGTAGCCACCTGCTGCTGCAACGGGGTGTGTATTGTGGTGGTGATCGCACTGGGGCTGTGGATGCGACGGGAGAATGGCCGACGCGATCGCCAACAAGGCCGAAGAGTGCGTCCGGGAGAAGTGGATACACGTCAGTTGGCAGAGGGCGAAGACAGCCCGGATTGGCGGTACTTTCTGTAAGGTTAGAGATCTAGATAGGCCTATCTCGATTGGTGTGATTTCATTGATAGCTCCGGGATGGCATTCCTGAATTAATAATAATGGACTAGTTAGCGATAAGTGAAACCTTGTCCCCGCAGAAGGTCATTCGTCGATATGCATCTTCAGTCCGCATTCCTGCTTCTCCTCTTTTGCCCTTCAGCTTATCACCGGCTTCGGCCTACCCGACCCGCAGATAAATGAGGTCTTATCCCCGGGATGTGAGTCCCTGCATGTATTCTTCTCCTGTATCGCTATATCATGACCCCCCATGAAGTCCCACGTGTGCCACTGGCCCAACTGCGGCAAGACCTTTACTCGTGCAGAGCATCTGCGTCGCCATGCCCTCAATCATGACCAGGCAAGACAAGGCTATACCTGTGAGCGATGCTCCGTGCATTTCCACCGCCCGGATCTACTGAGTAGGTGCTGCGCTACTGCAAGATATCTCGACTCCGTATCTGACCCGCCAGATCGCCATCTCATGCGCCATGCCAAACGTGATGAGGAAGCTGGAGGCCCTGGCCAAGGAGTGCTGGAGACGAGAAAACGCACTCGCCGTGCGGGAGATGGCTCCATCATTACTCGCCCTCCGAAGCGTCAGTCGCGCGCTCGTGCCAGCCACAGTTTGCCTCCATCGTCGTCGGCCTCGTCCTCGTCCATTTCCGTCACCAGCGCCCAAGACTATGGGGCCCCTGTGTCGCCTCCGACGTCGGCGAGCGATCCATCGTCCATGTCCTTGGATGAGCCCGATCCCCTACTGGCTCCGATGATGCCCAGCGGGCCATTCGAGCCCTATGTCGAGCCCATCCCAGGGCAGTTTGATGCGGCAGATGGCTCTTGGAGTCTTGGGCTGGACGGAATGGGCGATTTCTTCAGTCTTGACACTGGTACATCCCCCGTGGTAATGTTCATCAACGCCCTAGCTGACCAAATAGCCACCGACTTCAACATGCCCTTTGCGGCCACTCATAACTACAACTGGTTGTTCGACGTCGCCTCACTGGACGACGCCTTCCCTCCCTTTGACCTCCCACTAGGTCCAGACATGGTCACCTTCGCCGAGGATGCCCTTCCCATCGACGACCCAAAATCATACCTCGAACGTGACGGTTCCTCCGTCCTCCTCCAAGCAGCCTCCTTCGTCGAACGCAGCGACCCGCTCGTCTTCTCCGCGCCCATCCTCGACCCCCAACCAGACACCATCAACCTAGACTGGATGGACGCACCCTCCTTCCTTCAAACCACCCCCCAACCCCATCTCCCTATCCTCACCGAAGAAGCCCGTCAAGGGATCCTCAACCTCATCGCCCAAGCCCCACCCCTGACCATCGACGGCCAACCCACCCCGCTGGACTCCCCTCTCCTCTCCCTCCCCTCCCTCCAATCCTACAGCGACCTCTTCTTCACCCGCTTCAACACAACCTACCCCCTCCTGCACCAACCCACCTTCTCCCCATCCACCACCACCCCGGTCCTCCTCGCCGCCATCCTCTCCATGGGCGCCACCTACAGCAGCCGCGAAGCGCACCAACTCGCCGTAGGCATCCACGACTCCCTGCGGAACCAACTCTTCTGCCACGCCGACTTCTCCCCGCAGCCCGACCTCTGGGTCCTACAAGCCATGCTCCTAATCGACTGCTTCGGGAAGATGCGCGCGGGACCGAAACAGCGCGAACGCGCCCAGCTCTTCCACTGCGTCTTGATCAAGCTCATCCGGCGAAGCGATTGCTGCGCTATTCGTCACACACCCAACCCCGCCACTGCCACTACAGATACGGATATCGACACTCTCTGGCACACCGCTATGCACGACGAGCAGAAAAAGCGCGTCGCTCTGCACTGCTTCATGTGGGATACGCAGCACGCTGTCCTCTTCTCCCAATCCCTATGTATGTCTGCGTTCGAAATCAGATCCGCGCTGCCCTGTTCCCAGAGCACTTGGGAAGCGTGCACGGCGAGTGACTGGGCGCATCATGCATCTATGGAGCCTCCTCCGAGGATGTTTCTCTCCGTGTTAAAGGGATACATTACCCCCTCTGCGATGGCCCGGCCACGTGATCTGAATACCCTCGCTAGGATTGTGGTCCTGCACGGACTCATGTCCGTTTCGGCGGATTTGAAAAGGCGGGACCAGACGACGTTACGCGCTGAGACGCCCGAGCGAGTCGGTGCATGGACGCGACGCATGGGGAGGTCGTATGATCTATGGAAGGTGGATTTCGATGCGGATTGCCTGGCAATGAAGTTGAATTTCGGACAGCATCCCGGGGAAGACGTGGGTGGGTCGAGACGAGGTGGAGCGGGAGGGGTGTTCACGGGGCTGAAGATGGCGGCGTGTGCGCTGTATCGCGCAGCGTGGTTGGCGCTGCAGGTAGAGATACTTGATTTACAGGTTGCTGCTGGGGCGGGGAGGATCCTGGGGAGGACTGTGACGGAAGGGGATCGGGAGAGGTCGCGACGGGGGTTGAGGAAGTGGTTACTTGGTGGAGGGGAGGGAGCGTTAGGGGCTGCGAGACAGGCGGCGAAGTTGTTGGAGGAGGCGGTGCTGAGTCTGCATGATTGGGAGCAGACGGATGCGTTTCATTTCCCGTGGTGTTTGTATTTGGCGACATTGACTTGTTGGGCGTTTCATGGTGGAGTGAATGGAGATGGTGACGGTGGTGGCAGTGGTAGTGGGGAGAGAGTCACGACGGATCTGGCGAGTTTGATAGTGGCCATGACGACGTGCGGCAGTTTGGGAGATATGGCAGCGCTCGGGGGGAAATACGATACGAGGGGGTTGGTGAGGACGATGGCGCAGCAGTTGGCGACGGTGAGGTGGGCGGTGGTGCATGATGCGATGAAAGTGCTGGTGAATTTGGGGAATTGATTGTGGATCTCTAATCTATATGTGATGTCAAGTATATGCATGTAGGTCACCTATTCAAGCTTAAACCCTTGCTTCTCGA